AAACAAAAAGGCAGAAACATCCAAAGAAGAGCTTTGAATATCCTTCAAGAAGCCTATTAATGAAGACTACTTAAAGAAATGACAAGAAAGCTGCCTAAGAGAGATCAGACTGTGTTAAAGAATGAAGGTCGTACCAAATATTGACTTTCAAGCTCATTAGACTCGTACAGACTTTTACCTTATATACTGTATTTACATAAATGTTTTCACGTGTTTCAATGAATCACTGCAGCCATTTCCCATTTTTGTACCAAAATAAAAAAGAAATGAGGAGTTTCTCAAAACTTATGCACAGAATAAAGTTGTCCTATTTTCGGTTTGCATAGGTCTTAAATGTTTCAGTGCAAGTCTTTGAAGCACACAAATGCTTTAGTTCTTGCAAAGGTGCTGCATCATTCAGGTTGTGCTTCATAGTGCACCAAACTCTTTGAGGTTGTTTTCCTTTTTGTAAAAACAGTTAATGGAAACAATCGCCTGATAGAATACATTAAGTAGTTGTTAGCACAAAATTACAAAAACCCTTGGGTTGGGTGGGAATCGGTTCATTTCCATCCCAAGTTGGGTTTCAAGTTTAATTTAAAGTGGTCATTAAGAAATCTGAACTTTACCTTGGTTGTGGACATGTTTGAAGAGTGTTAGGAGTGAGCAAGAATACATACAGGCATAGTATTTACTTGTTAGCTTTTTCCATTCCCCAGTGAATTTATTTGTTTCCTCCTTTCCTTTTTTATTGCTCCCAATTGTATTGATCCTATTAACTCCACCTCTGCCTCACCTGTTGCTTTTATCAGTTTTCAGCCCTTGTTTTAAGCTGCCTTCCATCTCATCCTGAACACACCACTGGCAGCAGCTGCTGCCAAATAAAACTGATTTGACTTTGACTTTTAAAAACCCCACTCACATACGTGTCGGGGTTCCCTTAAATACTTTGAAATGATCTTTAGAGAAGTCTCTGAACCTTGGCTTCAGCAGAGAGCTGATCAGTTATAGCTCAGGCCAGGTTCTGGCTGTATCCGCATGAACAACGACGAATAGTAAATCTTGCAGCGTGAGTCTGTTTCTGTGTTGGGGTTGCTCATAACTGCAGGGAAAACTCTGCAAACTTTGAATGTTTGGAAAGTTTTCTGTTGATTGTGAATATTTTTCTCCCAGATTTCTGTTCTTGTTGCTGTTTGTGGCAAACTTTCACTGTTCCCTGTTGCCTACAGTACACATCTGCATCTTCACTGAAGTCCTGTTTGCTGCTTTATGCACATTTTCTGCTTGTGCATATGCTTATGACAGCTGAAATACAGATTTTCAAACTTAATATGCTTTTCATTATCATCTGTCATACATATTTATATATTTTTACAATGCTGGAGGTGTAACATGGGCAAAGTTTCAAATAATGAGTTCCTGTTTATGTGGAAGTAATCCCTGTGAGGCAAAAATTCTAAAAACTTTCATCCAAAGCAATTTTAGTGGAATCCACTAATAATAATTTTAAAAAGGAAATAATTATAATGGAATGCCTGTAAAATCTATATTATGTTGTTTTCAGAAGTTTTCGGGGTTTCTGTGCATCCCTTGGGGTATCCTGTGGGGAGTGCTTTGGGAGCATGGGGTGTTTGGCCTGTTGTTACAGGGCATTCGGTCCCTGTACACCTGCAGAGATAGCTTGGTTCATATTTCTGGCAATAAGTGGGACTCATTTCCATTTGGTCCTGGACTTCTCCATTCATAGTTTTTATGGACAGAATATCTAGCCATAACAAATGATTTTCCCTTGAAGGTTGGCTGAGCTGTCCCTTAAAAATAGGGTGAGGAGCTTGGTCATTCAAGTGGGACTCGGAGTAGAACTCCTGCTCTTCCGCATCAAAAGGAGCTAGTTGATGTGGGTTGGATATCTGACTAGGATGCCTCCTGAGCACCTCTGAGGCAAGATATTGCGAAACATATCCTACCAGGAGGAGGCCTGGGACTCGCTGGAAAGAATCCTGGGTCTCAGCTGGCTTGGGAACGACTCAGTGTTAAATGATAGAAATTAATGGATTCATGGATTTCAAAATTCAAGATCTTAAGGTTCTTGTGTTAGGTCCTTCTAACCCTAGGAAGCTTTTTGTTTTTCCTCTTTTGTTCATTCAGATCCAGAGCAGAGACCTTCTACCCAGAGAGGAACACAAGCAGAAAGTGAAGAACATGATAGAGGAACTCGGAGAGCCCGATGAGAGCTGCAGACACAGTCAGTCCCACGATGTCCTGTATCCTTCACGTGAAGTGAAACACATGCACACCGTTGAACTTTGCTAACACAAACAGCCTCTGAACATGCCTCTGTAAGCAGGAAGTGCTGCAGAAAGCAGTAACCCACACAGTAAAGCACATTAGGAAACTCGTACTTTAACATCAGCATCTTCATTGATTTTTCACTGGCAGTTTAATAGATGCCTGTGTTGAACAACACACGCTCTACTGTACATTCATAGTTAGTCAGCATGTCATCTGTCATGCTGGCTGACTCCCTCTACTCTACTTACATTTTTCTGCTAATATTAATAATAAACAAATACACAACATATACGTGGAAATAGTAGTTCATTAAAAACACAGTGCATTCAGGCTCAGTAAAGCTGGTAGCAGTTTCAATTTGTTTCTTAATTTAAATGTTCTGTCTTTCATCTTCACGCCCACTGCCCCCTCTCACTTTGCTCATTGCTCCTTGACGCTTATCTTCAGACATGTCGGAGACGTGCCCCTCTGCCTGTCTGACTTTGTGCTTTAGACAGGACATCGATTTTGAAAGTTCTTCACCTTGCTCATTTGTTGCATCCGTTTGTTTGACTATTTCTGTTGTGCTCCTAAAACAATACAACCGGTAGTTTCACAGCGTTCTAGCAATCTGACTGACTGCATGCATTTGTTCATAGAAGCTAGTTCATATTTGCAGCAGTGTTAAAGAAAACAAACATCTTGAATTATAAGTGCATCAATAAATCACTTGTTTTTGTTACAGGTCAACGTTGCTGCTTTTTTGTCTGATGTGGTAGCACTGACAAGCTAATCAACCTTTCCTCTTAAGAAAATGATTTTTGTACTTTAACATATTTCCATCATATATGCAATGTTACAATAGTAGTTATTGTTGTTATAAAGCATGCCCAAAGTTTAAAATAATTAAGCATATATACATTAACCCCTTTGAACCAGGTGCTCACGGTTAAAAAAGTACTCAGGATATGCCTAATATGGTCATCTCAGGCACAGAGCTCTGACTGTGAACACAGAAGCCTGGTAGAGCTGGTCATCTAATAATGGAAAGGTTGATGGTTCTATCAGAGGGTGCTCTAGTCTCTAGTCTGCATTCCTAAGTGTCCTTGGGCAACATATTGAACCCCATGTCGCTCTCTGATGCGTTCATCGGATATGAATGTGTGAATGTTAGGTAGAAAGCACCGGGCGTAGACAAAAGTACATGTATGAAAGGGGGTGAATGGCTGAATGAAGCATGTTGTATCAAGCCCTTTGAGTGCTAGAGTAGAGTAGCAAAGCATTATATAAGAACAAGTCCATTTAGCATTTATCTAGACCGTCTGTTTGCCGGGGGCAGCCAATTAGAAGGCGTTAAAGGAGAAATGTTAAAACAGCTTATTACAGGCAGAGAGTGAATCTTTTTAGACCAGGACACTGCTAATAAAAAAAACACTGTCTAAGCTGCAGGTGAGCAGCTCTGCTCGGGGAATTAACTCTCTCGCTTTCCCACCTAGAGTTTCTTCTGCCAGTTCTAGGATTTAACCACATTAATGTGAATTTCTCTACCCCATCCACACCTTCTCAAAGCTGTCAGGTGATGGGAGTACGACTCCCTGTAGACCACTGGTGTGTGTGGCAGTGGTTGTGAGGTGGACAAGCTGCCAGAGAGCAGCTGTCGGCGAAGTGCTTGAGAGCCATGTGGGATATAATTGCAGGGTAAAACGTCTCCTGTGGTCTATTTTTGAACTGTATGGCCACTGATGGGCTCTCAGGCTTTAGGCTACTGCAAGAAAATCAATCGTTCATTGTACCATCGGGTAGCTCCAGTGTGTTTCTTTACTTCTCACTGGCAGCTCATTAAGTGGCAATGGTGGGGTTCTTATATGATCGCACAGTCCCTTTTGACGTCCAGTTGACTTTTAAATTGCTGTCACAGCCAGCTTCCTGAAAGGCAACTTTTCATTAGCATAGCCAACCCTAGCTGCAAATAAACTACCTAACATGCTCGCTTACTCCGCCCTGCTCGGGAGTTTATAACGTGGCTGGAGAGCATCATAATCCCCGGGGAAACAGCATAAACGGAACGCAGCCCCTTATCCCCACGCTCTGGCGGTGTCTCCCTCTAACTCCTCCGTGTGGAAACCGCACTCCTCCTCCTCCGTGTTTAGCGCCCGCTCGCTGTCATTCGTCCAAGACGAGCCAGCCGGTGCGATCGTGGCACTGGCAGAGTGGAGCAGCGAGAGCCGCATGTAAATGAACGCCTCCACCTCCGTTGTTGTCACCTGAGGATCCAGAGGAGAGCAAACTCACTGTCCCGTCTACCTCATCGGCGAGCCGAGCTCTTTTTCTGTCTTTGTTCACGCTCGGAGCGGAGATAAAGAAGGTTCAACTGCACTCTTTACTTTGGAGCAAACGCCGCTCGCTAATCGCTGCCTTGTGGCGCTGTCGTTTCTCGCTACAATACGGTGAGTGGACCTCGAGTTTGGTGGCTGTAGTGTCCAGCAGAGCTCTATCTGCCGGGGGATCTGCTGTGCTGGCCGCTGGCTGGCTGGCGGATCCGCCGGAGCGTACAGCTGCGATGACAGGAGGCATCGATTTGTCGACTTTAAATACTTAATTTACAAAAGTGAGCCCCTAGTTGGGAAGTCTTCTATAAATAGTTGTATATCATTGAGATGTTGGTGTATAATACCACTGTATGTAGCCGTGCATCCAAGATACAAAAAGCGTGTAATTCTCCGTTTAGAATATAAATAGTTGCTCAGTAGTTGGGTACAGACAGCCGTGCAGCTGTGGGAAGCCAGGTCAGGTAGGGGACATGCAATCAATTAAACAATCTGTAGCTGATGGTGCATGTGACAGTCTTTATCCACCATCACCATTACGCATGTCCGTCCCTCTGTATGAATGATGACAGAAGGAGAGCCTCTAGGATGGAAGCAGAGAGAGAGAGAGATGATGTGTCAGTCCTTGAACCTCAAGCCTCCCACAGCAGGCTGGCAGCCTGAGGGGAACCAGGCTCCACTCCTGCTGCACATCCAGCTGTCTGAAAGGCATCTTGCTTTTTTCCATCCTCTCTGGAGCGCTGTTCACCTCAAGGGTCAGCTGTGGCTCTTGAAATGAATGCTGCAGAGCAGGCTTGTTTGCGGGTCGGACTTCTTTCTCCTCCTTGATTGAAGATTATCATCTTTCATCACACTGGTGAAAATTGGATACATGTTTTCAACAATACAGTCAGAGCGGTTCTTCTTCACGTGTGATTAGATAATGTAACCTACTTTACTGACAAAGCTGGAACCTGGATCTCCCACACAGGAAATCAAACTTCAGCCTCTTTGCCCTAAGAGGTTGTTGCTAGCAGCTCCAAGCCAAGAGATTTACGTGGGCTCACACGACTTCAGCAAGAACCACTCTGCCTCTGCCTCCAGACCTCCCCGACACATCTCGCCAGCTCGAGTGCCGGAGGGACAGACGGCTTCGGAACCGAGCCTCCCACCTTGGATGCTGAACATCTCCCCTGAAGTTTCTTCATTCCAGGACTCAGCAGGAGAGAATATGAAAGAAAGCGTTTTGCAGATCAGCTGGGTTGTCCTAACAGTGTTCTAGTGCATGCACTGCTTTGAGATCAATGATCAATTTTGTTTATATGTGCACCAAAAAAAGAAAAGTGTTGGTTAAAGACCGATGAGAACCCCTGCAGGGATCTGACGATCCCCTTTGAGCAGCACATGATGACGATGGCCAGGTGAACTCCCTCCCTCAGCTGGTTTTACTCCTGTAGTAAGACAGGCTGGGGGTGCAGGGATGCAGGCAATGACTGTTGTGTAAGTTCTCTCTCACAGAGCAGCATCATTTTTAAGGGGAGCTTAAAGTTAACATTAATGTCAGCAGATGATGATTTTTGCATAGTTTTGTGCTTCACACTCCTTTCAGTTCCACTCAGGACCGAGCCAAGTGCCCTGGAATTAGTGACGTGCCCATCCTGTGTAATCAGGGTTGCCTGTTTACAGTTAATGGATGCACTTCTGCACTGCCCGTGCCACATTAGAAATGATTGATCCTGCCTTAATGCCCTTCCTACATCACTTCTTACGGCCTCAGCACTTTGCCCCTCTGTGCGGAAACATCAGCAGCTCCTGGTTATGCGTATTGACGGTGATGACCTTTTCCCTCATAAATATCTGTCAGAGCTACATGGCTGCCTGCTAGGAGGCACACAGGAACATCAAATAACCCGACAAGCTGCTGCTACTACCAGAAAGAGAACCCCCACCCGTCTCTGGCTGTTATCGAGAAATATTGAGGCTTTCGACCAGCACTTAAGGATATTTAGTGCAGCATTTCTCAGAAAGCTGGGAAGCTACCCAAAAGATGTTCTCAGAATGCACAAATTGGCCCTAATCGAACATTGTCTTCACTCAGCTGTCTGCAGGAACGCCGGTTTCTGCTGACTCCGTATGAACAAAGTTGTTTTTGAGTTTTATTTTTAAAATAAAGGACCCCAGAGACTGGCAGGGAAAGCCAAAATGAAATAGGGGGAAAAAAATCTGCTTTCATTTTTCCGGAAATAATACACCGACGCTGCCGTTAAACAGAAGAATGAGTCAGTATGAAATGCTCTTTGTTTGTCTGCGTTATCAGCGTGCCGTAGATGTACAGGCAACGTTGAGAAGCAGAAGCAGTTTCTTTCTTTCCCTGTTCTGATTGGAGCAAGTTCTCTTAAGGGTGCTCACTTTAGTCTAAATTAATATTCACGCCCTGAAACATTTGCTCCCTTTCCCGTTCCTTGAGATTTGAGAACAGGCACCCCGGGTTTGTAAAGATTAATCCAGTCAGCGCAGAAATCGAGTATCCCGTGCTCATTATCTGTCATTCCACAGCCGCCTCCTCTATCTTGCACTAGTTCTCCCATCTGTGTGTCTTTGGGTTTCACCGCTGTGCCTTAGCAAAAGGTAGATGAAATATTCACCAGGAAAGCTGTTGTTTCCCTCAGGGTCTCCAACTCCTCTACCCCACCCCCTTCTTCCAAACGCTCCAACGCCCCTCCCTCCTCTCCTCCTCTTCCCCCCCGCTGCTTCTCCTAATATTACTCTCCCTCCATCCTATCTGTACCCCACTGAATCCCTCTGATATTATCATTGATGGAGCCCCTGCTAAATTATGTATGGATTAGATGAATTATATCTTGTAGCTTTTCATCTACATGTCCTCTCCCTGCCTCCAGTTACTTCTGTTTTCTGCTAATGTTTTCTTTTAAAAAAAAAAAAAAAAAACTTTATTTTTTGGCTCGCATCGAATCCTCCTTTGATGAGGTCCTATATTTAGCTGTTGTATTTATCTTCTCACTTTCATGCCTCCCTTTGAAACGTACCAAAAAAAGAAAAAAGCCTTGGAGGACGGGGACAGTTGCGACAGGATCAGAATGATATAGAAGACCGCCGCTTTTGAATAGAGAGGGCAGAGGACGGGCAAGAGCAGACTGGGCACCTGCTACAGAGACTGTAAAAGTTCCTCTGGGGATTATGCAAGTGCCAGACATCAGATGTGTCTTAAAAGGAACATACGGAGGCCCTCTTCAAATGCCGGCTACCCTCTGGTGTTCTATATTGACCACTTATCCCCAACATGTCTCCGTATTTCACATATTCCACAAGTATCACACGAGAGAGCACGAGCCCATCTAGTAGCTCTGGAAGGAGAAAAATGAATGAATGGAGAAGAAAGCTGTGTTTGCTGGCTCCATGTGAAAGCGTAGCGAGTCAGGCAAGCTGAAAGGATCTAATCAGGCGACGGTGTGACAATATTCTGCTGTGGAACAATGTCTGATGGCTCATCATCCCTGTTTTCAGAAGAGTGCCTCTCTGCCACCCCCTGCTGACCATGCGGAGTGTGGGTGCAGTGGTCCTGGCGCTCGCCGCTGCCGCACTCAGCTCGGCAGACTCCGACACGCACCGACCGAGACACGACTCCAACCTGGAGATCTGTATCCTTCTGCTGATGGCGTGCAGAGCTGCCGCCAAATGCTGTCCGCTGATGTCTGTGTGTGTGTGTGTGTGCAAGTCACTAAGTGTTGAACTTAAGCATCTTCACGGGTGTGTCTCTCTTGATGTAGAGAGCGTTTGTCCTCCTGACCTCCTCCTGTCAGACAAGCGGCTGTTTGAGACCAAGAGGAAAGATCAGCTGAATGCACTCAAGAATCTAGTAGAGCTGAACGACATCAACCAGCAGTACAAGATCATAGACATCATGCTCAAAGGGCTCTTCAAGGTACAGTGTGTATGTGTGTGTGTGTGTGTGTGTGTGTGTAAGACATCATATAGTGCCTGGGAAGCAGCAAGTCAAGCACAGACAAGGCCACTAGCATCAGAGAGCAGGCGCTCTGAAGCTCGACCTGCCTGGTGTTTCCAGCAAATTGAAGGATAAGAACGTTTGTAGCTCGATAGAGAATCAAAAGCTCTAAAATCCACCGCATTCAGCAGCGCGTGAGCTCGCTTTTCATTTGAATCTGAATTCATGCTGCTTACAGGTGCCATTCACTTGCACCAGACCGGGAGCTGTGATTTTACTGTAGGCCTCCATTTCCCAGCGGGCAGCTATGCGTGTATCTGCATCGCTCTCAAGGAGAACGAGCAGAGTCGACCTTCGGGGGCTGCAAAACATTGTCAGCGCTTCTATACGTCTGCGTGTGTGTGAGCCAGCGTATCTATTCTGTGCAGTGTCCACACAGATCACGCGTTGACTGTAACGTCTGTGGGAGGTGGTGTGTAAAATGTCATAAGAATAACAATCGTAGCACGTAGATGGGAGTACATAACCCTGGAGATTGAGCTCTCTTTCTCTCTTAAGGTGTTGGAGGACTCCCGGCAGGTCTTGGTTGCGGCCAACATGCAGCCCGATGACCCCTTCCCCATGGACGATAAGATCAAAGAAGGTCTGATTCGCTTTTAAATCTCAGCTGTTGCCTTCTCTCTCGCTCTCGAGTGTTTTTCACACACTGTTTCTGTCCTGCAGCTTATTCCCACGTAGTGGAGAATACGGCGTTCTTTGGCGACGTGGCGTTGCGTTTCCCCCGTATCGTCCACCACTACTACGACCGGAACACCGACTGGAGCGGCCTGCTGCGCTGGGGGCTGAACTTCTGTAACCAGACGGGGGTTTTCACAGGAGGAGCCCACCAGCACGTCCTCACACTTGTAAGACCTGCCGCAGCCTTTTTATTAAGGGTGTCAAAAAAAATGTTTCTGGTTTCACTTTTTCTCATTTCGATCGTGTGGATTTAGAAGAGATTTGTCGACGTCTCGCTGAAGACTGAGAGTTGTTGCAAAAGCTGAAAGAAAATGATTCAGATCAAAATCTAACTACCTAATTCTTCCTTTGCCAGTGCTCCACTAAGTTTCATGAGATTCAGCGTGATTGATCTTGCAGTGATTGCATACCGCCGCTTCAGCTCACGCCTTGGATTAGAAAAGAAAACATCTCTCTGCAGGAGGATGTAATGGAAATATTCAAAACACAGCGAGAAAACAGTGCGTTACAAACCGTAGCACAGTGATGTAAATGTGTCTGGCACAGAGCAAAAGAATAGTTGAGGTTTACAGTGATTCTTCGGCTCCTAATATCCAGCCTTATCCCTGGCAGCGTGTTTAAGGCTCAGCGAATTCTAAAATCTATAGATTCTTGCAAAAGCAACAATAATGGTGCGATGGTAGTAGATTAATATCTCCAGAAGCGAAAAAGCTGCACTGGCTAAAAGAAGGAGTTCAATATCTCAGGGTCTTGCTCACGAGTGGGAGCAAAAGGCGAGCTTGACGGACAGATCGGTTTGGCATCACCAGTGATGTAGACTCTGAGTCTGCTTCACTGTGGTGAAATGAGAGATGAGCGTAAAAGCGAAGCTGTCGATTTATCGGAGCACCTACGTTCCTGCGCTCACCTGTGCCCGCAAGCTCCGTGTGGCGACTGAAAGAATGAGACTGCAGATAGAAGGGGTGGAAATGAACTTTCTCTCAAAAGGTGTCAGGGCTCTCCCTTACAGACTGGATAAGGAGAGCGGTCATTCAGGAGGGGCTCAGAATAGAGGTACTACTCCTCCACATTAAAAAGGAGCCAGTTGCTTGGAAACGCCTCGGTGTCACCCCAGAAGAGCTGGAGGAAGTGGCCGGTGAGAGGGAGGTGGGCCTGGGTAAATGGCAAGGGATGGAAGGGTGGAAAGAACCTTTTATTTTGGAAAACAATACTCAAATATCGAGGGTTTTTTTTTTCTTCCCCAGATTTGTTTTGTTCTATAAATGCAGTTCTTATCTCCCACTCGCTATTGAAATTTAAATGAATTTAGATAATGCTTCCCAATAACTGCCCAAACTGCCCACCTGCATTTCAAAGTGGCTGCTCAGTGGCTTCTAGATCAGTTTTAGCCACACGTTAAACAGAAGGCACATTCTCATAAACCACAAGAGGTTATCTTTTCAGCAGAAGTGCCATCTGTGCATCATTAGCTATACCAAACAGGAAAAAATGACTTTTAAAAAAAAGGGTGACAGTTCTCTGGAAACCTGGTGGGTTTGAAGAGTGATGCAATCTCATGTCATGTAAGTGTGGAGTTATCAGTCATCAGTGTCAGCCAGCGTGTCAGATATTTCTGTAGAAATTGAATTTTGGCCTTTTAAACTTTAAAGACCAAAGGCGTCTAACCGGTGTTACCTTGTTTAATGTGCGGGTTAATGAACTAAACTCCTGCAGGATTAATCTGTGACCTTAGCAATGTGCCAAGAGGATTATGAAGTGGATTAATTCTGAGGCTCGAAGCAGCAGCAGCAGTTTTGCGTCCTAAAAGTGTGCGTTCGACCCTCGCTTAACCCCACGCTTGGTTTCCGACTCCCTCGTCTCTATTTCATCCACCTCCATGAGCGGTAAATAATGAAGAATGAGCTCTAATACTCACAAGAAATGTGGTTTAAATTGCATCAGAGCGCTTCTTAGATGTAGCATAAGTGATGTGACGTTTCTTAGCTCTTTTTGAAGCAAGCATTATGTATCATCTCCCCCTCTTTTCTTTCCTCTGCCATCTTTCCTATTCTGCTCACCTCGCAGATGTCACAGGAGCTGGGAATAACAGAGAAATCCCCAGACTTTATAAACCCGTACCGCACAGAGAGAGATGATGTGAGTACGCTGCGTACATGCTGTTCTACACTTTGCCATCATCCATTATTATTCTAGCCTGATACCTGGTAACAGCTTTCTTAATACCCCGGAGACTCTCTGGGTACACCTTTGCAACCAGCAGGAGTAGAAACACATGCAGATCTTTGCTTTGTTTTTCGTAGAAATTCTCTAAGAAAACACAGCCTCTCTTACATCGCGACTTTGATCTCCCCGCGCCCTTTCTTATCTGCCGCAGGTGCTTCACACAGCCGAGGCTTTCCAGAAGATCCTGAGGGAGGAGGAGAAGAGGAGGAGGAAGGAGGAGAAGAGGAAAGAGATCAGGAAAGGCCCTCGCATATCCCGCTCTCGCAACGAGCTATAGCGCTACACCTCATCGAGCGCGAAGAGCAGAGGAGAGGGAGGACGAGGAGGAGGAGATGAGAAGGCGCGTACACTCGCAGTCCACAAGGGGTGGCTTGACTTGTAGACTCTGGTGACAGTGAAGAAAAACAAAAAGCTGCCGTCACTTGTACAAAAGCCAGGTGCTCGAGAAAGAGAGAGAGAGAAAACCTCAATGTGACACAAAAATGTAAAGTGGAGGAGGGGGTTCGTCCAGATCTGAGAAAAGCCTGAGCTGCTGTAAGTCAGCAGTTCTTTAGAATTTGGGGGGGGAAGGAAAAAAATAACAAGAGAAATAACTCTCTGGAGATGAAGTTAAGGCAAACTCATTTTTGATAACTTGAAGCTTATGTAACTGAACTTTGGGATATTAATTCATTTTAGTCTAATCGTTTTTCTTCAAAACTTTGCGAAGCCCCCGCTGTACTGTGTCTGGTCTCGGTTTAATGTATCTAAAATCCCATACGCTTCAAGTAGGTGCGATTGCCAAATTTGACCTTTTGAAAATGTGGCGTGTTTATGGTTGGGTTGGGCTCGACCGCTGATTGAATATTATCTTTCATTATTTCTAAGAGCTGTTGAATTTCTCAAAGGATGTTTGTGAATAGGCAGATTTACATTCCCACTGCTGCTCAGAATTAATAAGGACACATCATTATGTTGCGTTTGCCTGAAGGATGGCGTAATGATAAAGATTACCATGGGTTCATTTTTATGTCTGCTATTTTATTTCCATCTGAGGGACTCATTTGAGATTTTTTTTTTTTTAAATTGACCATATAGTTTTTTCTGCCTTAATGAGCCTTCACATTATTTTTATCCTGTCAACCTGAAATACAACATGTGACCATTCATCTAGCAGTCCCTCGTCTTTAACCTTTTTTCCCATATTTTTCCCCTTTTTAAATTGACACGTTTTGTGGATTCAGAGCTACACAATTGAGACTGATGTAATTTTCATATAGTAATAATGACTGTTATGAAAACTATATGTATATTCAGAGAAAAATATCATTGCTGCAGAATGAACAAGCCATTTTGTTAACACGTGTAATGAAATAAAGTGACTCTGATACATAAGGAAGAAAATTATATATATAATATATTTGTACTTCATGTGGCTTCATACTGTAGGGATGTCAATCTCATTTTACATTGTGGGCCACGCACAGCCCTCTTTGACCTTAAACGGCTGGACCAGTGAAAGTACAAAATAAATAATAAAAATAAAATTACAGAAAAAGCTCTGGTAGTTCATTATACAGACTGTCCCCGTACTTAATATACAGGTTTTGTTAATTCACAATTTTTTTTTATTTTTTATTTTTACTGTGTAATTTACCTGTCATTTAATTTTTTATCTGTTAATTAATTGCTTTTAGTAAGAATGGCAACGGGGCTGGGCTTTATCAATAGGAAAAACTGTAACACAAACTCTATACAAAGATTCAGGGCTTCATATGTGACAACTCTACACTTTGGCGTTTACTCAATTTGTATAATAGCAAACAAAAGGTTACCGGTTCGAGCCCGGGAAGACACACAAACCTCTTGCTATTGTGTCAGGATGGAGGTAAAAAAAAAAAAAGAAGAAGAAAGTAATCTTCCAAATCAAGCGTGAACATGAGAGCGGCTGAAAGCAGCCCCCTCTGTGCTCCACAGACCTGCTACATTTGTTTTGTCGAGCAGATGAACCGACAGAGGGCAGGAAACCATCAAAGACACAAAGTCCAGTGTTTGCATTTCATATGCAGGCAGAACAGTTTGACTTCAGCCCATCTGTCGCCGCATGTAGAGGATGAAGGGGAAGCTGGCATGCAGAGAAGAAACGGCCTTTTAGTCTCTCTGCGAAATGTTTCATCATTTGTACTGTGGTAAGATCACTCTTTGATGTTTCTGTCAAAGTTAGCGACTTGCTAACGAAAGCTAAGCTAAAGCTGTTAACGTGCTAAGGCTGAATTATTAGCAGGCAGTCTAATTAACGAGATTAAAGCGTGAGCTCTTCATTCGACATTTGATTTTTAGTTTCAGGGTATGTTGTCACTGGGTGGTGTTAAAGTTAGACATTTAATTTAACCACCTAGTGGATGTTGCTAGCTTCGCGTCCCTCTTGCCTGTAGCTAGCCTATTGCTGTTTTGTTTATGTGCAAGAAGCTTCCTGATGCTCTCACTTGACAAAGCTCATTACATTGCTGTTATCTTTCCCAACGACACAAAGTGGAGATAATACAAGCCTTGGTTGCTGTCTGCTTTTCCATTGGTCATTACATTTGCAGTGAACATTTCAAAAAAACATTTACAGTAGTCTGAGCGTTAACGCCAAACGTTTTCTGCTCCTAATGTTCTGTTAGAAGACGAGGAGGGGAACAAGGAACCAGTACACATGGAGGGTGAGAAGGAAGGAGTCGACTCTGAGACCATGTGTAGCGAAGACCTCAGACTGGTCCTTGTTGGAAAGACCGGATCTGGCAAGAGTGCATCTGGGAACACCATCCTGGGCCGCAGGCAGTTCCTGTCACAGGTCAGCGCCAGCTCTGTCACTCAGATTTGCGAGATGGGAAACAGTGAGCTCGCTGAAGAAGATGGCCGGGCCGTCCCACAGAGGAGGCGAATCATGGTTGTTGACATGCCAGGCTTTGGAGACACTCACCTCAGTGTGGAGCAGATTCACGCAGAGATTGCCAAATGCGTGTCTCTCTCTGCCCCTGGCCCCCACGCTTTCCTCCTTGTAGTGCCAATAGGACGATACACAGACAACGAGAACCAGGCTGTTTGTGAGCTGGCCAAGATATTTGGGGAGGATGCTGTATTTCACCATACAGTGGTTCTTTTTACAAGGGGGGATGACCTAGAGGGAATGGGGATAGAAGAATATCTGAACATGACTGCACCTCCTGGGCTGAGGGCTCTGATAGACAAGTGTGGGGGTAGGTACCATGTGCTCAACAACAAAGACCCCAGTAACACAGCACAGGTTAAAGAGCTCTTGGTGAAGGTAGACAGTATGGTGAGGCAGAGTAACGGAGGGTTTTATACTAACACTATGTTTTTAGAGGCAGAGGCTGCAATCAGGGAGGAGCAGAATAGGATTTTGCGAGAGCGAGGGCAAGCAGATGGTGAAGACCAAGAAGGAAGTAAATGCAGAACTGAAGAGGGAGCTAAACTTGCAAAAAGAAGGAAATGTGTTTTAGAGTCTGACATAGCAGGAAGCAGCGAGAGAGGATTACAAGAGCTCCAGAGGAAAGGGGTAGAAAGAGGAAGTGAAGATGATCTTAGGGTGGAGAGATGGGCAAAGGAGAGCAGAAGCAGTCCTTTCAGCCTGCTGAGAGACCAGATCAGAGGCCGACATCGGGGCCACGACAGAGCTGTCAGCCGGCGGCCATCTGTCCGGTCGTCACTAATTCGTTTCAGGAGGGAAGCCGCGCTCTCTCCCATGGTGCTGGAGAGAGTTAAGGTCCTGGTGGCTGCTGGAGCCACTGGCATGGCAGTTGGGGCAGTTTTTGGAGCGGCTGCCCCTTTGGCAGCCGCAGCTGGGGCATCTCTTGTTGGGAACTCGGTTGGTTTTGCTGCAGCTCAGTTAGCTGGGATGTCTGTGGCGGGAGGCTCAGGTGTGGGGAACGCCGTGGGCGCCATAGTGGCAGCAGCCTCGGGGAAAACTGCAGTGGCTCTAGGCGCAGCAACAGGTGGCGTTCTGGGTAGTTCTGTTGGAGCCATTGCTAGCGCTGAGGCTTCCAGTCCTGCAGAAGGTGCTTTAGATACCCTCAGCCAGGTTAGTATCATAGGGGCCACTGCAGTCGGGGTGGCGGCCGGTGTGGGATGCACCATGGCAGGTGGGGCTGCTTTAGGAGCAGCTCTGGAGGGAGCAGCTGCCCTCGGTGGAGCTGAAACTGCAGCAGCAGCAGGAGTAGCTCAGGGTAGTTTAGCGTCAACAGCCACTGGGACTCCTCAGTGTGCTGCCGCCTTAGCTCAGGAAGTGGCCGCTGGTGCTGTGTGTGGGGTAACAGGGCCCAGTGTGGCAACAGCAGCCAGCAGGGTTGCATCAGACCCGTGGGGCACCATGTCGACAACAGCGCGCATCCTGAGCGCAGTGGCCGAAATCGGCAAAGCTGCAGCCGGCATCGCCCTCGCTGGTGGTCTGGTGGTGAAAGTGGTGAAGGAAAAAGTGAGAAGCGGCACAGGAACGACGGAGGCTTCCTACTCAGAGAAGAAGTCTTATGAAATCTACTGGAACAAATAAATACAGGCTGAGCGTAGAGTCCAAATCCAGGATGTAAGAGATTTATTTTTCCACCTTCACAAGTAAACACCACACAACACAGTAGCTTACTGCAGTGAAGGATATTTTTACACGGATGTAAATGATTAAAGATGCACTGCTAGCAACAACATCTGTGTAATAAAGTTGTATGCGGTATTAATATGAAACCACTTTTTGAAAGAAAAGGTAGAAATTTCTTACTCTAAATGTTGGTTCAAGCCGAGGCTGAATAATCCATGACATTTGCACTTGTGTGGGACGACTGAAAGACATATTAGATGGGTGTTGATTCTGTTGTTTCTTATTTTTAAACATGTTCATTTCATTGCTGGTTGGTATTAAAACACACTTTAGTCCTTGAGCACACATCATACTTAAAAAATAAATAAATACAGTGAGTATTATAAACAGAAAAAAGTCATCTTAAGCACCTCATCAGTTTCCATAATGAAAGATATGCAACGATTGGCTGCGTTTATTGTCACGTAATATGTAAACCAGGAGAGTTATCCAGTTATGTATTAACACAGGTTAATACAGGCAACACATCTGCTGGAAATGAGTCAGCAGTTCACTGATGTGTTCATGTTTTTGCTGTGAAATTAAAAAAATACAAATATTGTTGCAAGAACTAACGTTTTTGGCCTTCTTTTTTCCTTTTCTTGTGGTATTATATTTGTGTTATCTTTTTATAATGCCATATGTGTGGAGTTGATTTATTGGTTAAAAAGTACAACTATGGTTCTCCATTTGAAGAATTCTGCAAACACATTAGGTAAAAATGTGATGGTGCTTAGAATTAAGATCTGTGCCATTTTAAATGTGTAGATTTGATGACTTTGTTAGGTACACTAATACCTGGTTGGACGTCCTTTTGCCTTCAGAGCTGACTTAATTTTTCCTGGCATGGATTCAACAACAATGTCCCAAAGATGCTCTGTTGGACTGACGTCTTGTGACCGTGGTGGCCATTTGAGTACAATGAACTCATGTTCAAGAAACCAGTTTGAGATGATGTCAGCTTTATGGTTGTGTTATACTGCTGATGGTTCCTGTGAACCATCAGAAGAAAGGTACACTGTAGTTATAACTGGATGGGCATGATCAGCAACAATACTCAGGTACACTGTGGTGCGATGGTAAGTTGGTACTAAGGGGACAGAATCCCTGTAGATCAGCAGTTGCTAAAACACACAGCGCAGCAACTTAAACTCCCATATTTCTCCCGTGTTTCTGATGCTCAGTTTGAACTTTAGCAGGTCATTTCGACCTTATCTACATGCCTAAATGTGATTGATTACCTACCCAATAGAGTCGATGGGTAGCTCAACTGTAGTTCTTTCATTTTTTATTAACACAATATCATACAATTTTTATGCTTAAAAAGTAAAATTTGGAGTATATGCCATTAACCCTTTTTTCTATAACACAACTTGTAATCTTGAAAGCTTTAAAATGTAAATAATAAATACGATAGTATTAATCTGTACGCTGGAAAACATGCTTATCACGTTAGCTGTGGCAAAATAGAAGAAACGAGTGAAACTGTGTGTTTGGCGAATGACTGCAGAATGACTGTGTGGGTTTATCGCCGTCATCTTTTCCAAGGAGCTGCATTTGTCCACCGAGGTCGAGTGCTTTTCGTGAAGGTAGGGGGAGCGGTTTATTCAAATGACACCCAAGCTTCTGATAGTTGACGTACTATCAGACCACGGCGAATACGGGCCTGTCATTGGACGATGATGACTGGTCTCATGACAAGAACGAATTGGTCTCAGCCAATCAGATCCCGCTATGGGCCACGGAGTCTGTTTGTGAATGACGTAATGAGCGTGAAACAAGATGGCGTCGCCTCAAACATAAATTGATGCCAATGAGTTTATCGGTGTAGAAGTGCTCCTCTCTTGGGGCTTCTGTTGTTTTGGGGTTGAGAGGACATATTCCGCGGTCAGTTAGCTGTGTGGTAGGCGTTGCCGAACGCCCACGGAGGACCTCGTGGACCTTGTTTGTTTTGTCCCTCCGTTGACAACCGGAGAGGAGAGCTGCTGACAGATAGGATGGACAGCGGGGAATATATCTCCACCATGGAGAACATGGACCCGACTTTAGCGGAATTAGGGGACGAATTCACCTTGGGAGACATTGACGGTGAGTGTCCGTGTCACCGTTAAAAAAAAAATAATAGGAAGGTTAAGCTGTGTTTCACGAGTGTTGGCCTGTTTCCGTTTAGCCCGACAGCTGTTCTTCCTGCCGAGCGGAAGGAGATGAGCAGCTCTGGCTCTTAATTCTTGCGACAATGTTTAAGTATTCAAGATACCACTCAGGAAAATAGAGACCACTTATATTTAGTAGTCCTCGAATGCTCTCTTATTTTGGCATTATCCTTGTCTATTTTCTTTATTTGTTTCTCTAATACCCCCCACCCCACCCCCAAAAAACAACAACAAACAAAAACCCAAAACAAACAAACAATGAACATAAACTAAAAGATGAAGAAGTGATACTGTTGTGTTGTCTTGACTCCTCCATAAGAAGTGTCAGTTACTTTCTGACCTTCTTGTTTTTGAAGAAAGCTTTTCCTCCTACTTGAGCATCTTTTTGCTTCTGCAGACCTAATTGAGCATCATCTGTGGGACAACATCTCTGTCAAAAATAAGTAAATAAATAAATAAAACAGATAGCCTTTTGTACTCTGTGGGCCTGTACCCTGTGAACAAACAGCATCCTTGTTCCAACTTCCCTGTTATCAAAACATGTTTCACCCTTTGGCACACAGTGAAAGGATGGGGGCTTTTGGTGTGAGGCTGGCCAACGCAGAGTCACCAGCTTTTTATTAGGGTGGAATTTTACTGAATGCTAACCCACCAGACCGGATTGATACACTGGTGAATTTGTGTGTGTGTGACGCACAGTATGGGATGAATTGGTTGTGTTAAGTTTAAATTACTCATCAGCATACAACCAAAGTGCTCTAACTGAGATCATGCAAAGCCCAATAAAGATTACTATGCATGGGTTTGAAAACCTACCTGCCTGTGGCATCTGGTGTTAATTCTCTCTCGTGAACAGCCCAGTCACAGCTATTTAATCTCACTTAATCACTGTGTCAAAAGAAGAATGTGCAGATTGTGTGAAAGTCAAATGACTGTTGAGGTTTGACTGATCCTAACTTGACTTTTGCTTCACTCAGTGCATTTTGCCTGCAGCTGTGTGGGGGGGGAAATGCAGGTTTCCCATGAGGAAAAGCATTTAACTGCTGCAAATTCAGATTAGTCACAAGCTTTTCTTTTGTGCATTTGACTCTGTATTAATGTTGAACATTCTTGCTTTTCCAATTATTCACTTAACAACTGCTGCTCTGCTTATGTAACTTATTTTCTTTGCTCTCAGCAGCCCACAAAATTGTCCCCCACTGCACCCTCACCCTCGCCCTACACCCCCATTTAATGGATTTACCCTTTGTGTCGGAGTCTCGGTCTGGAGCTCCATGGGCTCAGAGGTGCTTTGTTCTGTCAGCCACTGTAACCCCCTCCCCTCGAGGTGTTGAAGTGTGCGAGTGCCTTACTGTAAGTGTAAATTCGACTGGATGGTTGGTAGAAACGGTTCTGAGAGGAAGCCCATTTAGTGTTCCTGTGATGCTTATGTGAAATCCCGTCCTGCACTCCTCTGGGCTCACTTTTCAAAGAAAGCATCACAGTGTTTCCCTTTTATTGGTTTCGAAAGTGGTCATTACTGTTTCTTTACCTCTCAATGTCATGTCAACACAGGTCACATGCAGACTTCAGTCATGGCTATCAGTGCATGAATTACTGGCCTTGACCTCTCTGCTGCTAGTGTTGGACTGTTGATCTCTTTTTTACAGCTTGAGATTTTGCAGCAGTAGAAATGCAGATATGATATATTATCCAAGATGAGATCTAAACACACATGAGTTCATTTTAAAGACTTGTTGGATTTCAATTCATGTCTGGAGTCGGCAACCCTTCACACTGATGGGAACGAACGCCTTTTTTTGTTTTTGTACGCTGTGCTAAAATGCAGCGAGTGATCAAAGACAAAGCTGACAGGATGTTGGCTTCTTTTCCAAACATATCTGAGAACCTTTTGGTGTTTTAAAAAGTTTGTGAGTTTTCCTTCTTCGCTTTCCAGCTTCAAGCATCTATTCTTGTACCCCAGTGCTTTTTGTGTTGCGTTTGTTTCAAACATTACACCATTAAAGTAGAAACACAAAATGTCCTGCAGCGATATTGTGCTAAAAAAAATGTAGAAATCAAATCACCAAAAAGGGAAGTATTAATTTTATTGCAGCCGTAATAGATGCAGAACATGTTTCACTGCAGCGTGATTGATAACTATGTATGTCTTTAAAAAGGTGTTATAGTACTGTATTATACAGTGGCCTTGTATTTTCCTGATGCCTAAAAAATCACTCAATGCAGGAAACAATCACTCACTTTGAGGCTGCAAAGTAGTGACTGTAGTTAAATTTAACATGTGGCTTGCAGGGCTTCTCGGGTGTATTGATATGTGGTGTCTAAGGGTTGTGCGCTTAGTGATTTAACACTTACACTTGACAAAAAGTTCTTTGTCTTTTGTATTGTCTGATTTCTCCGCCTCACATTAAGACAAAGTTCAAGGTTACAGGCTCAGCTTATTGACGCTGCGCTGACCCTGGGAGCTAAGGGCATAGGCACAATCAATCACATAGGCAGACAAGCTTCAACCACATGGGATACTATATGTCAAAAGTGTTTTCAGTTGTCGTTGTCTTTTTTGAAAGGGGATTCCTTTTAGAAACGTTAACCTTCAAATTACTAAAGTAAATAATACTTAGCAAGACAATCATTTGGACCAACACAGTTGTTCCAAAAGAGTCAATAGTACCATCAGATTTGTTCCACCATACAGTAACATCTGGAAGTATCTTATTGGCAGCTACTTCATTTTCCAGCATCCAGACAGTGGTCCCAAACACACTGCCAACCCAGTAAAAGCATGCCTGGATAGAAAAACAGACATTGGAGCGCAGTCAGTGATGGATTGGCTTCCCCAGATCCCAGAACCCAACATAATTGAAGCGGCATGGGATCATCCTGACAGAGGACAGCCAACATCCAAACAAGAGCTTTGAATGTCCTTCAAGAAGTCTGGAGAAGTATTTCTGAAGACTACCTAAAGAAATGACATGATAGGTGCCTAAGAGAGATCAGGCTGCCAGTCATACCAGATTTTGACTCTCAGGCTTGTTACAAGTGTACAAAAGCTCACTTTGCCCTAAATACTGTTTAGTTTTGATAAATAGCTGCACATATTACCCATTTTTATAGCAAAATATAAAGAAATGAGTGGTGGTTCAAGACTTTGGCACAATACTGCATTTGGCAAGAATGTGCTGGGAACATATTGAAAGAGGCTGTGATATGATTATGTAAGTGTATTGATATTTTGTCTCAACACTATTTCTATCAGTGATGTTTTTCAAACTAAATTTCCAAAAATGCTTAATATTTTACCCTATACTTAAACCTCATATACAAAAATAATTCCCAAAAATAATCAAGACATTAAGTTGATCATTGTTTCCTAATAAAACCTCTCCTCACGAAGAGGCAGTTTGTTTTAGATTCAGTACGATGGGTCTAATGAACTGGCAACTGAGTGCATATTGTCATGTTGCCAAACCACGAGCACCAGCATACACAATGTCGGTGGGTGGGTGAGTGAGTGAGTGGGGGGCATGTATCTGTCTATCACACCTTTCAGAGCTGCTCGATTCTTCATGCCTATCTCTTTTGTGGCATCAATTGAGATTACATCAAACCTCTTCAAGGCCTTCTGTTTGAAGGTTTCTTTATACTGATTTATGACCAGAACAGTAGCTGTGCTTGTGTGGATATCTGTCAATTCAAGGTCAGGTCTTGAAGATTCTATTCATATCTTTGCAATAAATAGTGTTCATATCTTTGACTGATCTACACTGGAGCAACCTCAATATTCTGCACGAGGCCTCACTTACAGAGGAGACTTGCGGAGATGTTCAGATACACCTCAGATGATGTTTTTGACTTCTTGTCTGTTTACTTTCTCCCTATTTTCAGAGATGCTGCAGTTTGTCAGCAATCAGGTGGGAGACTTCCCAGACTTGTTCGAGGATCAGATGAACTCAGCAGGCTCTCTACAGGGTGGTGGAGTCACCTCCACCCCTCGGCCTCAACCTCAAATTGCTCAGACTCCCCAGACACCGCAGCCCTCAACCAATGCTGCCTACCAGAGTTCCAACGCTTGCTTCACCTCCTCCCAGACACTGTCCCCACATTCAGTACTCCTCACCCCTCCCCTCACTCCCGCACAAACCCCCTCCCCCCCAACCAACGCTTCAGTGCAGCAACAGGTGACCCGCAGCCCTCCACTCCTTCAGCCAAGGCCTCAGATGGTCCAACCCATCCAGCCTCAACCCCAACAGGCAGCCCAGACAACCATCCAGGTACAGATTTACCTGACGCTTTCTCACACGCTACTCATACAGTCCTATTAGGAGTGGAGAAAGCTGTAGTCTGACTGTTACAGTGATGGGCTAGTGCTGTAGTGGTGCTTCTGCTGACGTAAAACATTTTCAGACTGCTTAAAAACTGTAACAGATAAACAAAGACAACTACAATCTGTTTTTCTGTTTTTGAATGTAGATGCACACCCAGGGCATCCCCATGCAGACTCAAAGCTTTCCAGTTCACACCCTGGTTCAGACCCACAGCCAAACACCCATGCCCATACAGACACAAGCAGCCCAGACAGTGATGATTGCCTCCAATGGCGGACAGTCCCGCTTCATTCAGAACCCTGTCATTTGCCAGCAGAGCCCTGCTCCTGGCTTCCAAGGTGAGTACAGAGCAGGGAATGCAATTTAATTTGGCTTTTCATTTTTCCTAAATATCATTTTTGTTTTCACTCTCGTCACTCCAGTCCTCCAGCCACAAATGCAAAGCATCATGACGTCACCTCAGCTTCAGCCAGTGGCCATTCAGCACCAGCGTGTTCTGACCCCAACAGGTCAAACCATCCAGACCATCTCCACAGCGCCCACTGCAGTCCACACTGTGCAACAGCAGGTGCAACAAGTACCTGTAAGTAATCCTCAGTTGTTAGCAGGATTGGATGAGTAAACAAAGTTTCTGCTATCAGAATATTTCACCAAAGCTTACCTAAATAATTTTACCCCAAGTTACTGCAAACATAACCCCTAACATAATATTTAGTTTCACAGTGATAATCAAGCAAACATGAAAACGTTCAATTTATGGTTGTCTTCACTCAGGTTTTGGTCCAGCAGCCTCAGATTCTTAAGACGGACTCACTGGTTCTCACAACTCTGAAACCAGATGGGACACAGGTGCTGTCTACCATGCAGAGTCCTGCAGGCATCACCACCCTGACCACACCCATCCAAAACACAGCTCTGCAAGTCCCGGTATGCACTGTGCATGATTCAACACTGCTATTTACATGCAAACAAAGGTTATGATTAAGACTAAAAACTGTTTTTGTGTTTGTTTTCGTTCGCCAGACACTTATGAGCAGCAACATCCTGACCACTGTCCCTGTTATGATGGGAGGAGGAGATAAGCTGCCAATCAAACAGATACAGCCAGGCTCTTGTCAAAGCACAGCTAGGCCAAGCATGGATCAGTGCCAGGTGACAGCGGGAGGAGTCGGGCCAGGAGGGGTAGTGAAGGAGGGCGAGAGGAGGACAACTCACAACATCATTGAGAAGAGGTATAGATCCTCGATCAACGACAAGATCATCGAGCTCAGAGATCTGGTCATGGGCAGTGATGCAAAGGTTAATATTTTTATTGTCTCCTTTAAAATAAATAGATAAATTACTAAGTCTGGGTAATATCATATGCTTTCAGCATTTTAAATTCCATGTATTTCTTCTTAGATGCATAAGTCAGGAGTGCTTAGGAAGGCCATTGACTACATAAAGCACTTGCAACAGGTTAATCACAAACTACGCCAGGAGAACCTGGCCCTTAAGATGGGCAACCAGAAGAACAGTAAGTCTTCACTTTACTTAAAGCTGCGAGCGGATCAGAAGTCACAGCAGGTCCAATGCATTGACACTTTCTCTCAATCCCAGAGCCCGTGACGCTGTCTGAAGATGTGGAGCTCAAAGAGGAAGTAGTGCTGATGTCACCACCGGCCTCAGATTCTGGTTCTGGTTCCCCTCACCAGTTCTCTCCTTACTGTGTTGATTCAGAACCAGGGAGCCCTTTATTGGATCATGAACAGGTGAGGACAGGACACACACACACACACACACACACACACACACAGTATGGTTGTGGCTCAGTGGCTTAGCAGACTGCAGTGTTTTAGTGTCAGCAAACTGATTAGCTCAGTGTGTTTATGTAGGTCAAAGGAAGGACAGTGGCAGTTTTAAAAGACTTCCTATTCTTAGCTTCAAAGTGCCTCTTTGAAGATTAGAATGAGTTTTTTTTTTTTTTTTTTTGGTTCTTCATACCTGAGGCGGTTGTAGTTCTTTCTGTCGACAAAAGCTTTATTGCACATTACTCCCACTCGCTTTGCTTCACAGTAAAAGCTTTTAGCCGGTGAACGCCCATAAGCTATCACATTTTTTTGAAAATTTTTCCAAGACAGCTGATTTCTTGTTTGATAAAATTTGATTTACGTTGATGTTTTAAAAGGTTTCTTTTTCCGCTTGCTTCACTAGATGTATTTTGGGCAAAACAAGGGTTTGCGATTATAAATCGACTTTAAAGTATTATTTATCGTCCCTGTGAACCTGTTCTTCGTCTCTCTTACTGTGTCTTAGATAAAAAGCGAGCCGGACTCTCCCTCGGTTGGTGTGATGGATCGCTCTCGGCTGCTCCTCTGCGCCTTGACTTTCTTCTGCCTCTCCCTGAACCCTCTCCCATCTTTACTGGGATCGGAGACGTCGAGCAGCCCTGCCCTTGCCGGAGGCCACGGCCCATCTAGAACGCTTGTCTGGTTTCCAAGTCACACGCAGGAATTTGGTGAGGATTAATGATCTTTAATTTAATTTACCCCAGAAGTTGATGAATTGCTGATTCCTGTTCATACCACCTAGAAAATCCTTTGTTAAAATCTTAAAAATACAGGTTTGTCCATCCTCTCATAGATTTGACATTGTTTTTGACATGTTTCATTTCTTCCCGTCCTCCAGCATCTTGGCTCCGTTGCCTGTTGCCGTGGGTGATGGTGTGGGTGCTGAGTGGAGTGGGAGCAGTGTGGGGCTGTGTCAGGGTGCTGTACCTGTGGGAGCCAGTCACACCGCTTCACTCACCAAAATCTGTGTCCTTCTGGAGGCACCGCAAACAAGCAGACCTGCATCTCAACAGAGTGAGTGCAGATCAGATCAGATGGACTTGAGATGTTTTAAACAAACCATTATTCTGATGCTGTTGGATTAATAGAACTTCTTAGAGTTGGATGTAACCTAAGATTTGTTTTTCTTTCTATTACAGAGCACTTTGCAGATTTGTGCTTTAATTCTCACTGTTTTTGATGTCTCAGTTGAGCCAGGTTCCTCTGCACGTGGTTTTACTTTTAGCATCTTTCAGAGCTAAGCCACAAACTTCTCGGTTTTTCTCTTCCGTCAGTCTACGCTGACTACTTTACCATTTCTCATGTGATTCTCTCTCCTACAGGGAGATTACACAGCAGCAGTGGCCAGTTTAGAGACTTGCCTCTCTGTTTTGACGAGAGCTCTTCCCTCAACCAAGCTGGACCTCGTCTGCTCACTCTCCTGGAACGTGATTCGCTACTGCTTGCATCGCCCAACTCCTCTGGGCTGGCTTGTCCACCAGGTCGGAGGGAAGCACGAAGGGGAGGAGGCGAGGACCAGCGCGAGGGACGCGGCACTTGTGTACCACCAGCTCAGCCAGTTGCAACTCACGGGTAAGCGTTTAGGATGCACAGACAGGAATCCAGCAGATGGTTTTGTACTTTTCACACGTGTTGACATGATGAGAAGATACATTATCTGCTTCCTCTTTGTCTCTACAGGAAAGCTACCTCAGCGTAGCAGCCTGTGGGCTCTGTCGCTCTCTCTAAGCGCTGTGAACCTCAGCGTGAGCGCCCAAGGCAAGATGGCCCCCACACAGCTCGCCCAGATTTATGTCACTGCCGCAATAGCCTTGCGCACTGCGCTGGGCCACCATCTCTCCTGTCTCCCTGTAAGTGTGTCACCTTTGAAATCATCACTGTTGATGTTTGGCTTCGCTTGCACTTTATCATGTTTTGAACCTCGTCTGTCTCTCAGGGTTACCTGCTGGGCTGTGCTGACAGTGTGGCCAACCAATCAGAAACCAAGACGATCCCCGACTGCCTGCGCTGGCTCTTCACTCCACTTGGGAGGCAGTTCTTCCTGAGCTGTGATTGGTCAGTGAAGTCAGAAAACGGCGATGGGGTGTACACTTCTCAGAGAGACCCAGGTATGTTGTAAATGTTGGGGCTGCTCCTTAAGTTTCCTCTAATTTACTTCTTCGAATTCAAAATAAAATAATCCAGTTAACTTCTTTCAAAAGTTAATCGTGAGTGATATTCCTGTTCTCTCTGCTTTCCTGTTGATCTTTCCTCCCAGCTGACCCCATTGCCCAGCTGCACCGCTCTTTCTGCAGGAAGCTTTTGGAGAGAGCCGTTCACACCCTCATCCAGCCGCAGAGCGACTCTGAAGCAGAAAAACGCAAGAACGAGTCTGGGTAAGGCCTGAATAGCAGCAGCAACGCACTACCGAGAAACTCAGACACTTTAATGTTTATAGATTATGTTTTGTTTTGTTTTTTTCCACAGCTTGGTGTAAATTTTAGATTTAGATTTGCTTTTAGCTTATCTTTTCTTCTACCCTTTCAGAGAGTTTTCCAGCGCCCTGGAGTTCCTGCAGCTGTTGAACAGCTGCACAGAGGACTCTCCTTCCCCACCTCCCCCTTTCTCGACTCCTCCCAGTCACAGCACTATTCCAGGTATGATTGATATGAAGAAGAACCGTGACAGTTTAATAAGAATCGTGAACAGATCTTTGCGTGGGGGGGAACGTTTTCTTCTGTGATAACTAAGCAGATAGCAATCTGAGTTATTACTGTCAGCCTGAATGGATTTACTTTCCTCTAGCAGCACACTGATAGTCAGTCACTAGTCGCTTTCCACATGAATGTTTTGTGGTATTATCACAGCTTACAGTCATCTACAAATGAATGCAGTGGATAAGAACACAGTGACAATCTGGTCGCTGCCCTACAAAAAAAGAAGTGTTTTACAGTCATGCATGCAGCTTTTGATAATAGCAGGAAAGCTACAACGCCAAAAGGTTGACCAACCTGTTTGAGCTACATTTTCTTTATGCATAATTTTTCTTCTTTTATGTACTTTTTTTTTTTTTTTCCCCTCTTCCAGTGGGGGACCCAGTGAGTCGCTGGTGGGCTGTGGTCCTGAAGGCTGCAGTGTACTGGCTGCAGGGCGATGATGTCGCAGTGAAGTCACTTTTGGCAGAAGCTGAGCGAATGCCGAGAGCTCTGCACATTCTTGAGTAAGTGCACTGAAATATATTCTACCTTAATGGGAGTGGTCTATTCCAGGATGTCCAACAACAGAGGTCACGGAATGGTATGAAAATTGACCGACTGACATGTTACACAGCATTTAGCCAATATCAAGGCAAATTAAAACTGTCCTGCAGACATTTGGCGGTATCTGTTTATCTGCTTGGCTGTGTTTTAATTAAATCAGAAACATGCAGCACATACAGGTGTATATTCTATATTCAGCACTGTGTTTGCAGTCTTCAAAAATGGCAATAAAGCTGACTCAATTAAGATGTTATGACTGAACAGTCATAAGCCAACAGAGAAATCAGTTTTTTGCACTTTGCTATTTATTCTTTGTGCACCTTCGCACCTCCAGTAAACATGTTCGAGTTAATTTCTTCTCCTGTTATTGCATTTAAAGCCCTGGATTGGCCCCATCCGCTTTAATCTTGTGCAGATTTGATGATTAAAAATCTGATTCACACTTGGTGGTTCTACAAACTGCTTATAGGTGCCGATTTTTCTAAAATAATTGTATCCAAAGTGGGAGGGGGGGAAAAAAACAAAGCACAATAACCTGATAAATGTCCCTCTCTATTCCAGCCATCCTCTGCCCAAGGCTGTGCTGCTTCTCTGCAAGGCTGTACAGATGAGCCTGTCCCCTCTGAAGGGAGAAGGGGCAATAGCCTGCCTTTCTTACTGTGACAGAGGCAGCAGCTACCTGTGCTCCAGCATCTCAGTGCCGCTCGCCCAGTCTGGGAACTGGCTGAACAAGGTAGGGTATCAACAGTTCCTGAAAGATGTACCAAACATGGCCCCTACATTCATACATGCAGTGCATGCAGACATCAAAGAGTCTTCCATATATTACAAGTTACTGTCTCACAGTGCAGCACTAACTGTAGTTAAAGCTTAATCATACATAAACACACACACACAGAGTTAGGGTCAGGTCAGGCTGTTGTGGGGCTGTGTGTGCGCGCAGTGTGGGTGGCAGGAGGTGGCTGTGGTGCATTGTAGTTGCATTGCATGATCCTGAAGCCGAGTGCAATGTGTCTGCAGTGCAGTACAGAGGCCTCCCTGATCTGCACGCATCCACAACACACCCCACCACTTAACACTGAGCAACAATGAATATCTTTTCAGATTTGATCTCTCTGGCATACACGTCGGCTAAGATTTACCGGTAATTGTGGGGTTTGGTTTTTTATGTGCATCTATATCCAACCCAGCTGTGTTTTCATTTTTTTTTTCTTCTCCAAGGGGGTTGAGCTACTGGTTTGTGACCTCCTGTTGACTTTGAGGACCAGTTTATGGCAGCGGGGAAGCAGCAGTAATGGAGAACCTGGCCCGGCTCCTGGATCTCAGTTGGCTGGTTTCCAGAGGGACCTCAGCGCACTCAGAAAACTCACACAGTGCTACAGACAGGGACAACACAAGGTCGGGCTTTGGGGAGATTAATTCAGATATGTTAATAATAGTGCTGATAGCTGAAATATGCGAAGGATCATAAAGACAGAACTCTCTATGTTCAGGCCTCAATGAGAGGAAGAAGTGAAAGAGATTCGTCATTCTGAATTTCTTAGGCTGGCAGTTTGGCACCGCAGGAAATGGTTTTTGGCATATTTTATGTTTTTTTTGTTTTTGTTTTTGTTTTTTAAATGTAGCTTATTAAATTTCAAAAATATATAATAGAATTTGCAACAGCGATCAGCTTCCAAGTATTCGCAGTAGTGAAACTGTAAATGGTTCCATCCTTCAAGTGAGAAATCACCTCGGTACATTTCTGATACTCATCTTGTTCATTATGAACATAATATATATATATTTTTAAATTTTTTATTATGAATCTCCATCACTTTTACCATTTCCAGAACTTTCACTTCAGTTCACCATATCATCAGTCACACTTCTGAGATTAAATGTATTTGTTGTTTTTTGAGACTGTTAAGTTTTTCACATTTGGCCTCTTAGATAGCACAGTGGAGGAAATCTGAGGAAAGAAGGTAGACAAAGAGTTAGAAGGGTGTCAAACATAAGGCCCGAGGGCCAGAATAAAACCTTCAAAGACTCCAATC